CGCGAGCGAGCAGCGACAGCCGGCACGGGCACGACGAGGCTGGTGAGTGACGCAGAGCAGGGCTTGGCGAGGACTCGCCCAGGAGGGCACTCAGGTGCTCGCCGGGCTGCGCCCGCGGGCAAGGTCCGGGCAAGGGCCGCGCTGCCCCGGCTGCCAGCACCTCCCTCTGCTGCCTCCACCAGCCAGGTGCCAGGCAGCTCTTCACATTCAGCCTTCCTCTCACAAAAATCAACTGAATGCCGTGACTTGGGACTTTGCCCTTTTTGTTCTCGGGGAAACAGGAGTCTAAGCAACTTCTTTGAGATTTCTTCCTTTGTGCTGTTCCTCTGATGCATCCCATGGAGAAGAGCATCCTCTTCCCACCTCTCTTCCTGCAGCTCCTTCACCAGCCTCCATCCCTGCTGTGTTTTGCAGGCCACGACCTTTTGCCTACGGGCAGAGCCGTGTGCCACACGCTGGCACGTGCGAGGGGACTGGGGCTCCGTGGGTCTGCACTGCCAGTTGGGCCCGTCTCCCATGCAGGCAAAATCCTTCCTGAGTGGGCCACAGTAACCAACATCTGGGCTCGTTCTGGGGTCACAGCCCTGCTCCTGCCTGAAACGGCCCAAGAACTGCATGCCTGACAGAGCTCCCCAGGTTTCCCCGGCACTGATTGATCCCCAGAGCTTTTGGTATGCAACAGGAGACCATTTTTAGCTCAAAGTTTATTCTAAAAAGAGGGGGAAAGATAAAGTACTGCTGCATGCATGAATCCTCAAATAAATCAGGACTAATAGCAAAGGAAACTCAGAGGCGGCAGTGATGAATTTTACATTAAACTGTTGGCATCGCTACCACACATGAAAGCAATTCCCGCTGAATTGCTGGATCGTGTGCCACACTGCTGAATTTTGAATGAGACGGCAGCAGGTGAGGGGACGTGGAAGGTGCAGGGGACACCAGTGTAGCACAAGGGGGTAGACGCTCAGTGAGGAGGAAGAGCCGTGAGCTTCCCAACAACCACCTCCCTGGTGCCTGTTGGGACCATCACAGCCTTTTTGGGGCAGAGTCGGGGAAAGGTGGAATAGCTCTCACATCCTTAAATTGCTAAAGACAGCAGGCACTGAATGAGATCAGGGCTGACGTGAGGCAGTGTCTGCACCAGACAAAGTGGCTGCGCAGGGCAACATGGTGACAAGGGCTCTGGCCAACGTGAGCCCTGGCGAGAGGGGCCGGAGGGCTCAGAGAGCACCCGTGGCAGCCGCTCTGTTGGCAGTGCCCAGGAGGGTGGACATGGCCATGTGCAGGGAGACGGTCAGGTGTGGCAGCTGGAATTGTTACATGTAGAGCTGGGGTCAGCTTTTGAACCTGGCTTCCAAAGAGAACCCAATGTGTGCAGCTGTTCTGTCTGTTATTATTTCCACTTCTCCCCCTACAATATTTTAGCACCCATTTTAAACCAAATTTGACAGAGGGGAGTCTCAAAGACTTCTAAATGCCTACAAGCCCTGTAAAAACAGGCAAGCAGCTGGGTGGAGGAGGAAGTGTCCACTAGTGCTATGCAGAGGGACTTGCAGTAGTCTGTGCTTAAGCCGTGTTAGTCACCAGAGTCCACATCTAGCCTGTAGCCCCACGTGTCCCAGGCGCTAAAGGTTAATTCCTGGTGGCCACAAGCATCAGCCCCACTGGGAGCCAAATGGTGCTTGCGTCTCTCTTGGAGTGACTTGCTGCATCTTGCTTGTGGAAACCACCTCCAGCTTCTCCTTACCTTTGAGGACAGTGAATGTGTTCATCAACCTACAAGCCTTCGGGACAAGCAGAAGCCTTCCTCCTTGCGTGAGAGGAGAGGAGTTCCCAGCCTCTGCCTTCTTCAGGGCTATCACCTACTGCCCCATGGAGCAAAGCTCCTGTGTGCATCTCCTCTGCTGCTGGGGCCAGGGCTCCGAGCACACCCTACCGTCACCTCTCCTTCATCCTCCAAGATGCCACACAGCTTGCTGTCTTCTTCTTGTGCCTCCTTTACCCAGGGAAAGCTCATCAGCAACACCACCCCTCCTGCACAGAGGGTGACCATCCACCGCAGCCTTGCAGGGAGGCTCCAGGCACTCCCTGTGCTCCAAGATTTGCAGAGCTGCCCCCTCCATCAGATGGTCTGTCTGTGTGGAAGCCTCCAGCACAGTGGGGACAGCAACCCCAACAGCTCCCACAGAGTGTGCCCTGCAGCACGGCATAACTGCATCTGAGTAAGGTTTTATACAACCTCCCTGTAGCATGTGCAAACAGGGTGTTCCCACCATAACCAGGGTCAGCTGGAACTCCAGCTCCCTGCAGTCCGGCAATGCACGGAGCTCGTCAGCAGCAGCTACACCTCACTTGGGCTTCCCAGGAGAGGCTGTGGCCGTCCTTGCCTCGCGCTCCTTACCTGTCACCACCAAGCACCTACTGGTCCCTCAGAGGGTCCCCAGAAATCCCTGACACTGCTGTGCCGTGGGTGCCTCTCAGCAGCACAGCTCCTGAGCAGCCCCAGACCCTTTCCCGAGTGCAGGAAGGAGGTGGGCAGGATCAGCACCAGCAGCGGGGTGCCAGGAAAGGGACACGTTCTCCGGGTCGGGAAGCCCATCCTGTGTCAGGAAGCTGGTCCCCCTTTGCAAACCCTGTCTCGTCCAACAGCAACAGCAGCGTCGACCTGGCCAGAAGAGCCAGGCTGCTGGTGCTGGTGCTGCGGAGTGTGATGGACCCACTGGTGGCCCCAGATGCTGCCGTCACCAGCCTCGGAGCACTCAGCCACGATGCTTTGGGACCGTGGAGCGTTTTGCTGCCCTGGTCCATTGCTTGCTGACCGGAGGGCCGTGACCACCGGCCGCTCCTGCTTCCTCAGGCCATGCAGGATGTGCGCGTGCCATGGGCGCTGGGGGATCCAGGGCCAAGCGCCAGTGACGGCGGTGGCAGCGGGGGGCTGGCGAGCCGGACTCGCCGCGGCGG